TCCCTCATGGTGGGTGGACACTGGGTGAAGTCCTGCTGGTGCTGAGTCTCCTTTTGCTGGGTCTCTTTGCAGGACATCAGGCAGGTCAGGAGCAATGGCAGCGCCTGGCCGACCTGAAGCACAAGACCACAGTGGAATGCCAGCTGCTCCAGGCAGGTGCCTTCTTCTTCCCCCTTGTGCCCCACTCTGTTCTCCATCGTCACCCCTTCCCGGGCCAAGATCAACCGGCCGATAACCCCGAGCCAGCCTACGATACCCTCAGCTTAGAGAGCTCGGACAGCTTGGAGACCAACCTCTCTGTGAGCGGGAACTCCGCCTGCTCCCCGGACAACACCTCCAGGTCAGCTCCCTTCACCACCAGAGTCCGACTAGAGTTGCCCGCTTTCCAGGCTCTCTCGCTTGGCCTCTAGGTGGGCTGTGCTGCTGACCTGCTGCTAAGTGCAGGCCACATCCGAGAGAGGTGGGCTGGGAGGCAGGCAGTGACAACCGGTTGGCCTTGCAGTGGCAGTGGGGCAGATGCCAGGAAGATTGAAGAGATGGAGAAGCTGCTGACAGAGGCCCAGGCTGAGAGGACCCGCCTGATGGAGTCGCGAGTGAGGGCAGGAGAGAAGTCTCGGGATGGGGATCCCCCCAAGTTAGCGTTCTGGGACAGCCATTCCTCATCAGCTGACCCTGGCAAGCTAGTTGGGGAGGGGGCTCGAGAGATGGCTGGTTCCTTTCTCCCTAGTGAAGTCTGTCTCCACTCCCTTCCCCAAATGGCAGGGCTGCATGGATGGCGGGGCCTGGGTGGTGGGCAGCTCCTGCCCAGGGCTGGATATCCAGCTGTGGACCTTGGGGGCAGGGTGGGTGGTACTGGGAGGGGCACAGTGGCCCACCCTTTTGTTCCGGCAGGAGCAAGAGATGGAGCTGCGTCACCAGGCCTTGGAGGATGAACGGCGGCGGCGGGAGCAGCTGGAACGGCAGCTGCAGGATGAGACAGCGCAGCGGCAGCAGCTGATTGAGAGGGAGGTCAAGATGCGGGAGAAGCAGCTAGCTCAGGTGTGCAGGAGCCCCTCCAGGACCCTCAGAGGGCAGGGCTGCCATGTTCCCCCCAGAGAGGGAAGGTCTGCGCTACTGCCCTGGCAGCACAGGCCAGTCATCCTGCACACCTGACCAAGGATGGGGCAGGGATCTCGGGGGGGCTTCTTTCTGCTGTCTGGGAGGCCAGCGCGGAGCTTGGGATAGGTGATCTTTCTTCCTGGCCACAGTGGTTGGGGGGAGGCAAAAGGACTTTGGCCCCTGCTGCCTGCTCCACTGCACCCTGTTCTGCAGGCTCGCCCCCTGACCCGTTACTTGCCTATCCGTAAAGAGGACTTTGACCTGCGCTTGCACATCGAATCCTCCGGCCACAGCGTGGACACCTGCAACCATGTCATCCTCTCGGAGAAGCTGTGCAAAGGCTACCTGGTCAAGATGGGAGGCAAAATCCGGTCCTGGAAGAAGCGCTGGTTTGTCTTTGACCGCCTGCGGCACACCCTCTCCTACTACGTGGGTGAGGCTCCCCATTCCCATCACAGCTGGCCCTCTTGCCTTGCTGCTCCTCTTGGCCCTGGGACTGGGTGTAGCTGTCTCCCTCTTCCTTTCCCCCCTGCAGACAAGCATGAGGCGAAGCTGAAAGGCCTCATCTATTTCCAGGCCATTGAGGAGGTTTATTACGATCACCTCCGATGCGCAGCCAAGGTGAGACACAGCTGGGCAGTGAGGTGGCAAGGGGAGCACTCTGAGCGCAGACCTTCCTTCCTTCCCAGCCTGTCCTTTTCCTCTGGCTAGCCCAGCAACCCTGCATGGTTCTGAATCCCCAAGCTAACAGAGCCATCCAGGAGGAGAATATTTGGGCTGAAACTCCTTAGGAACTGGGTGGGGGGGGGGGCAGCACCAGGGGCAGAATGTGGCACCACTTCCTCAGTCAACCTCCTCGTGGCTCAGGCCCTAACTCCTTCAGCCTCAGGGAAGAGGCAACTTTGACATCTCCTGAATGCTAATGCTGGGCCCCAAGGAGAAGAGTGGGCATCTTTGGGGCATATTTTGACTGCCTGGGCAAAGCTTGCCCATAGCTCTAGCATTGCACAGCTGCCATGTGACTCCTTGCCTGCCCTGCCCGTAGTCCCTGGTCCTGGTCCGTCTTGTAGCACAGAGCAGCTTTTCCCCATTTTCTCTTTGGGGGAAGTTTTGCGGGCCCTCCCTTTTAGGGCTGGGGGGCCACGTTTGCCTTCTTCTCTGCCCTTAAGTAGGCCAGGGGCAGGGAGCGGGTTCAAGTGCCCTCCTTGGGGTTAGCATTAGCTCTGCCTGCTGCCAGAAGGGGGTCTAGGGTGGTAGGAGGCACCCCGGGCAGCCTCTCTCTTCTCTCGGCAGAGCCCCAACCCCGCCCTAACCTTCTGCATCAAGACCCACGACCGGCTCTACTACATGGTGGCCCCCTCGGCAGAAGCCCTGCGCATTTGGATGGATGTCATTGTCACAGGGGCTGAAGGCTACACCCAGTTCCTGAGCTGAGGCAGCAGAGCCATGAACAGTGCCAGAGGGCAGAGCTGCAGCTCTCCCTCAAGGGCTTCCCATGGACAGCCTCCGCCAGCAGGCATGGATTCCTCTGCCACAGGTGCCTGGGACGGGCACGCGAGTGGCAAAAGCAGGGGCCCTGCCAGCAGCTTCTCCTACCTTTCACTAGACTCCAGGAGGAAGCCCCCCCCCCCCCGCTTCAGAGGTGTGAGAGACATAGAACCACCACCATCAGGCTTTCCAGTGCAGGGCTGGCTACCCCACAACCCCCCCCCCCACTCCCCCCCCACTCTTCTCCCCTTGGCCCAGAAGGTCATCCATCTTGGGTCTCACATCTACAGTGCTGGCCTTCTGCTCTTTTTAAAAAAATGCAGAAGAACGGGACAGTTCCCCCTTGCAGCTTGGGGATGGCTGAAGTTGTTGATTAGGAGTCTTTGCAGCCAAGAGACACGAAAGCAAAATAGCCTTTTGCATACTTTCATGCATATGGTCCTTTTGCATTTAAACAACCGCTCAATCGAATTAAGGTTGCAAGTTACAGTCAAGACCAAACCCAAGAAAAAGCAATGAGCACTCAGCCCCCTTCAGGCCAGGTTGTGTTCTGTTTCTCCAGGACGAGGACCCTTGCAAGGAGGGCTGCACAGTGATTAGAGAGGGTGCCCCCTTAACTGGCATGATTTGGGCGGGAAAAGGGCAACGTCCAGATCTGGAACCATTTTCCAACATGGTGAACTGGGTATCAGGATGGGGGGAGGATGCTTTTCCTATGATTCCCAAGCAAGCAGCCTGAACACCCCCAACTCCGCAGCCTTGTGGCTCTGGATTCACCGTCCCTTTTAAAGCTGTCGCTGGGACTTAGAGAAGCAATTTTACATTTATACTCAGTAATCTGCCTCGGTATTCCAAACCTGACTGGACCATTGGCTTTCCAGGTTTCCCTTGGGATTTTTCCAGCCATGGCCTTGACCTGGGTCATCCCTTTGGCCTCGTTGGTTCCCTTTTCTGCTGGAATACATTTGTTTTCGCTCTGCCTAGAACAACAGCCACACCAGCCCAGTGAGGACAAATACTGACATGTGTACTTGGAGAACTTTATTGCCTATGCATATGCACCACCGTCTGGCCCACACTTGCCAGGGACGACTGAGGAGAGAAGGGGTTCTCCTATAGGCTGTGCAGGTATGCAACACACCACATTTGTTTCTGCTGAAGCTGGGCACACCATCAGAGGGATTCGAGAGCCAAGCCAAGGAGATGGCTACCTTCCCATTGGACAGGTCCATCACCGAAAACAATCCAGGAAGCTGTGAGAACAGGACCAGGATAAGGCAGGCCCCAATCCAGGGCCAGGAGGGAGAGCAGAGAGAGCTGGCAGCCGTGAGCTGCTCTCCATACAGATCTAGCAGTTGCAGGGCCACCCCATTCGTCCAGCCAAACCCTTCCTGCAGAGAGACAGGAGAGGGATCAAACAAGTGGGCCCCTTTGGTCAGAAGCTGCTCCCCCCTCCCTCTGGAATGTCACCTATCAAGACCTCTTACCTGCACTGGATACTCCCCACCACCACCTGGCTTCCCATCACCTTCGACATCATACTAGAAAGGAAAAGGAGTGAGCAATGATGGCTGCTCCAGGCTAAGCTACCCTGAGGACCAGTGCATAGAGGTCCGTGGGAGAGGACCTCCACTGGAGACTCCATGCTTGGGAGGGATGGAGAAATGAGGGAGAAGCCAGCTATGGCCTGGGGATGGTGGCGGAAGACAGGGAAGCTGTGTGGAAGAGGCAGATGCCCAGGAAGGCCACCTTACCTTCTCAAACATACCTCCATACTTCTCAAAGACAGCCAAGTTCATCTGCAGCCAGCGCTGAGCCAGGCTGAAGGCCAGCTCTCGTGCCCGGGGAGAGGAGGATTTGGCCAGACCTGGCAGGGCAGGGCAATGCTGTCAGTTGAGGCCTACAGCAGGGAGACACTGCTCTGCAGGGCTTGGCTGGCAGGGAGAGTCGCCTGGATGAACAGGGCAGGAGAATGACTCCTGCAGAAGCTGGAAAGGCAGGATGCAGGGCGAACCAAGGACACAGTGAAGCACCCCAGACTCTTTGGAAGGACTCCTCACCTAAGACCACCATGTGCTGGACAGGGGCCTAGGCATTTGGAAGGTCCCATTGCTGTCCCATCTGTGTCAGGGAGGTGGGCAGTCCGTTAGTGTAGGATAGGGCCGAACTCTCCGGCAGGCACCCACAAAGAAGAGGGCCAGTGATGGTGGGTAGAGGAAAGGCTGCCCTGAGATGCCCTATCCTGTCTGGCCCCGATTCCAGGGGTTGGCAAAAGGTGCAACTAGGGAGTAAAGTTCAGTCCCTATAGTGGAGAAACCAGCATTTGGTGCTGCCAACCAGTCTGCCCACTGGTGTGCTGGCTTCCCCCTCAAGAAGGACATTGGGGCTTTTGCAGTGAGGGAAGAACAGGTAGGCAAGGAGCTTTTCTCTGCTGCCTGACTTTGTGATTCCCCCCCCCCCCAGACTAGGAGTGCTCCCCTGAAGTAAGCCAGAATCTGTCCAGGTGAATTGTGGGATGCCTGCCTCAGTAGCTCCCCACCAGCTGTCCAGGCAGCATCCATCTCTGGCCACCCACAGCTGCCTCTTACTTCCAGGTAGTGGAGTGCCTTCTCTGTCCTGGGCAGATCCATGCCACACTCAGTCCACAGGGGGCTTAGCTTGGAGGGGTAGAAGGCCCGGTTGTGCACCAGGACACCAGCATCCTCATTCCACAGGACAGCAGTGACGGCAGCCACTCGCTGCTTCCGCGCAGCCCAGAACCAGCTCGCTTTCTCACCATCCCCTGGAGAGGGCACGCAGCACCCTCCTTCAGAGCAGGCCTGCCCTCCACGCCCCAGACAGGCAGCTCACCAGGGCCCCCGAACCAAGCGAGCCTTCCCTGGCCACACAGCCATCAAGCAAGAGGCAACACCCCCCCCCCATGAGGGAGCTGATGGCAGCTGCCTCACTTTGCCCCATTTCTCACCAAGGACTTGGTAGAAAGTGGCTAACGGCTGCTCGACTTTGCAAAGAATGGCGTTTAAATCCACCGGCACAACTCCCCTTACTCTGGTGCCTTGTAGTGAGTCCTGCAGTGGTGGGGAGCCTGGCAAGAACCAGCGGGAGTAGAAATCCCAGCCCGACTCAGCCGCACTCTGCAGCTCTGCCCAAAAGCCCTGTTGGGCTTCTGCAGGGAAACAGGTGATGAAACAGGAAGCAGCGGCCTCCAACATTGCCCACAAGAGCTGCAGGCAGGAGGCAGGTTGCTTGCCATTCCTCGGATCCTAGAGACGGAAGAGGCCCTGAGGTTCCCAAGGGCAACTCCCAGCCAGTCTAGGAATTCACATTAAAGCACCCCAGATGGGTGGGTGGGCGGGTGGATGGATGGATGGCTAGATGCCCATGAAGCACAACACCTTCATTGCTGCCAAACTATTCTTACTATGAAAAGGTTTCCTTAACATGTGATGGGCAATTACCTTCCTGTGATTATGTTTGGCCTTCAGAGATCACACAAAAGTGCCCCAGTCCTCTTATGTGTGAGACACCCTTTCAGCTAGTTAAAAAATTATGCCCTGTGCTTTGCCTCTAATGTCTGACTTGATTTCCTAAACCTTTCTTAAGATGTGATACCCAAAAATGGTCAAATTGTTCAAGGGGAGTTTGACCGGGGCCGAATGAAATGGGATTGTTGTTGTACATGTTGTGATTGAAAGCTCTCTTGTGCTGATTGAGACAATAATTGCATGTGCTGCTTTCTGCTATGTGCTCTGCTGCTCATACTTAGCTGGCAAGCCTCTGCCATTACATCAATATCCTTTCCACGACGCCTTCTCCAAGCCATTCCCCTCACCAGGAGCCTGATCAGGCAATTACTTTCCTCTAAGCCCACTGCCAGCTCGATATCTTTCATGTAGGACTCTGGTCTGGTGGGGGGAAGGGGAGAAAGGTTGAAGGGGATCCTGGTGTTCTTGGATACCAAGAATGGCCAGTTAGTATTCTGTATCTTCTGCTCTTGGGAAGAAAGGGGGTGTAGTTATTTATGTTAAGCAAAATTTATCAGCTTGTTTAGTAGATTCTGATCCTCAAGGGAGATATGTTATGATTGAAGTGGGACTGTATGGTAAGAAAATACTTATAGTAGGTTTGTATGCACCAAATCAACAACAGGAACAATTTTATAGGTTGTTGCATCAAAAATTGATTTTATTGGATTATAGATCTGTTATATTGATGGGAGATTGGAATGGAATTTTAGACACATGTAGAGACAAAAAAGGACTTTCTACTTCTTTTAAGCAGGCTAAATTACCTAAGGCTTTTTTTGATTTGAAAGAGGACTGGGAGTTGCGAGACTATTGGCGAGAACCCAATCTGGAAGAGAGAGACTTTACCTTCTTTTCGGATAGACATCAATCTTTTTCAAGAATTGACTTTTTTTTTATTACAACGGATTTATACTTTAGAGTAAAGAATGTAAAGACATTGGACATTGACAGATCACAGTCCAGTATGGATGGAATTGGTTACTGAAAAAAAGGAGAGAAGATCTTGGAGGTTGAATGAAAATTTGTTTAGACAAGAGATGAATGTTCAGAAACTTAAAGAGCATTTAAAGGAATATTTTGTTTTAAATATGCATAAGGGTACTTCAATGTCAATGGTATGGGATGCAGGTAAAGCGTGGGGTTTTGATGCAAATGAATAAGATTCATAGACAGAAACAGGTGCAGAAACGTAAGGAGTTGGAAGATGAGATTAAATTAAAAGAAAAAAGTTTTAATCTTGAATCCTACAGATGAGAAGACTAAGGAATCTATAAAACTGCTTAAATCGCAATTTAATATGTTAATGGCAGATCAGACTGCAACTAACTTACTGTACATGAAACAACACATTTTGTAATACTAATAAGCCAGGGAGATGGCTGGCCTATCAATTGCGAAAGAAACAGAAGTTGAGAATTATAGACAAAATAAATTATAAAGGTAAATTGGTATTTCAGAAGGATTTAATCTTTTTTAGATTATTATAAAAAATTATATATGGGTAGGAAAGTACAGGCTTTAGATATAAATAAATATTTACAAGATGCTCATTTTCCTAAACTAACAGAAGATCAGAAACAAGAAATCAATGGATTAATTACCACGGAGGAAATTGTGACAGCAATTAAAGAATTAAAGTTAGGTAAGGCACCTGGTACTGATGGACTGACATCAATTTATTACAAGACTTTGATAGATGAGCTGACAGAACCTCTAAGGGAACTTTTTAATAATATATTACAGGGTTTAGAGACTCCCTTGTCTTGGGGCAGAGCTTTTATATCTTTGATTCCAAAAGAAGACCAAGATCTTACGTTACCAAAGAATTATAGCCCTATATCTCTCTTGAATGTAGATTATAAGATTTTTTTGAAAATTTTAGCTAATAGATTTATGGTTGTGTTGAACCAATTAATACATATGGATCAAACTGGTTTTATAACTGGAAGGTATATGAAAAATAATGTCAGACAAATTGTTAATTTAATAGAATATTTGGATAAGAACAATCAAATTTCTGCAGGATTGATATTTTTAGATGCTGAAAAAGCTTTTGATCAATTAAATTGGCAATTTATGCTAAGACTGGTTGAGGAAATGAATTTTGGAGATAAAATTTTACAGGCCTTCAAGCTATTTATCAAAAACAAATGGCACAACTTATAGTTAATGGAGGTTTATCAGAGGTATTCCCAATTGAAAAGGGGACTAGACAGGGTTGTCCATTGTCTCCATTGCTGTTTGTGTTAACCTTGGAAATTTTATTGATTAAAATTCGGGACTCATTGAAGATAAAAGGAATAGAAATTAATAAAAAAGAATATAAATTAAGGGCTTTTGCAGATGATCTAGTTGTTACATTATCTCAACCAACTTATTCTGTAATGGAGTTGTTACAATTGATAAATCAATACGGACAAGTTTCAGGTTTTAAAATTAATAATAATAAGACTAAAATATTGCCTAAGAACATGACCAACTTGGATAAGGAGACCTTGGTTAGATTGACAGGCTTTGAGGTTGTTAATAAGGTAAAATATTTGGGTGTTATTCTATCTGCTTTCCAATTCAAAACTGTATAAAAATAATTATGAAACGCTGTGGGTTAGAATACAAAAGGATTTGGACAATTGGAAAAAGTGCAATTGTCCCTTTTGGGGAGAATAGCAGCGATTAAAATGAATGTTCTGCCAAAATTTCTCTTTTTATTTCAAATGATACCTATTTTAAAGAAAGAAGCAAATTTAGATGAGTGGCAGAAAGGTATCAATAAATTTATCTGGGCAGGGAAAAAAACCAAGAGTAAAACTTAAAATCTTACAAGATATACGAGAGAGAGGTGGACTTAAGATACCGAATTTGAAATTGTATTACGATGCTGTGGTCTTAACATCAATTAGTGATTGGGTTAATCTAACAAATGTAGATATACTCCTTTTGGAGGGATGGGATTTACTTTTTGGATGGCATGCCTATTTAATTTATAATAAAAAGGTTGATAGGGTCTTTAGATCTCATATCTTAAGAATTTCTTGAGCTTCCGGTGGGAGGCGACGGCGATGGCGGCTAGCTTTTAGCCGTCCAGCTGGGGAAGTGTCAGAGCCGCGGAGCGCAGCGCGCATCAGCTGGCCCGCGGCTCGGAAATCCCTTCCCGGGCAAAGGGAAGGGACAGAGAACGCAAGAGTAGAGGTAGAACCCCTGAACCCCCTCTGGATTTATTTCTAGAGGGGGTGAAAGGAGTGTTCCCTCGGAGCTCTTGCTGATCTCCGCCTCCCAGCTGTTTTTGCTTCCTAGGAAGCAAAAGAAACCGCCGCTTCTATCTCCGTGTTTACAGCATTTTGGTGAGTAATTTTTAAACGGACGGAGCAGTTTAAAGGATTTTTTGTTATATTTTAGGTGTTTATTTTTTTATCTTTTGATTTTTACTATTTTTCCTCCTTTTTTTTGTTATACTAGTGAAAGGATTTAAGATGGCGTTTTGAAACTGTCGGAGTTTTTTTTCCTTTCTCTTTTGTTTTACTTTCCCTTTCTAAGGACTGTTTTTTGCTTCTGCTTTTGCTTTTGGTTTAGAATTTTTTCTTTTGAACTGTTTGCTCTTTTACTACTTATTCTTTGGATTTACTCTGGACTTTTAATGACTATAGTTTGTCTCTTTTTAAAAAAATTTTTTTTTTCTTTCCTCCTCCCTTTTTGGCTGGAGGGGAAAGGGAAGTGACAATTGTGCTTTTTAAAATGGCTTCAAAGAGGCAGCAGCCTTCCTCAGCACCCAAGGTTATTTCTTCTCCTATAACTTCCACTGCACAGCTACAACAACAATCTAAACATGCACCACCGGCTCAGCCACCACCCTCCCCTCCTCTACCTGGACTTTCAGTACAAGAGGTTAGAGGCATAATGGGAGAGATTGTAGTTCAAATGAGAGAGGAAATGACTCAATTTGTTTCACAGATTAAATCAGAAATTAAATCTGATCTCAAAGAAGAGATAACGGGGATAAAGTCTAAATTGCAAGAAAATAATAATGAACTACGACAAGATATATTGGCAGCTGTTTCAGGTTTGGCTACTGTGGTGGTTAAGCTCGACGCAAGGCTTGAGGAAGTGGAAGACAAAGTTGACTCTTTGGATGACAAAATTCAAGACGTGGAAAGGAAGGTGGACTCCTCACAAGAAGATATTTTGATGTTTCAGTACAGACAGATGGAGTATGCCCTGAGGATTAGAGGCCTCAAGGAAGATATCAATCAAGATTTGGTGGAGGTGGTCCTTACTGATCTGGCGCTGGCCTTGGATATGGATAAAGGAGAATTACAGAGAGAAGTGGAAAAAATTTATAGACTCAACTCCTGGATTGCTAAGCAGAAGAATTTGCCTAGAGATGTGGTGATTTACTTTACAAAGAAGTCCCTGCGGAATGAGATTATACAAGCCTTTTACAACAAAAGATTTCAGATTGCCGCCCAAGATGTCATCATTCTAAAGGAAATCCCATCCAAAATTTTAAGAAGTAGAAAAGACTTTGCTTTTTTAACCAATGAGCTTAAAGCTAGATCGATGCCATTTAGATGGGAAATTCCGATGGGTATTGTTTTGAGCCATGCTGGGACACGCTACAGATTGAACACAGTTGATAAAGCTAGAGATTTTTATACTTCGGTCCTGGGTGTAGGCTCAACTTCATCTGGTCGGAAATCTTTGAGTGGTAAGGAAGCTGAGCAGCAATCTGAGGCATCAGATTTGGTTTCCGCAGGGATGATAGAAGCGGCAAAGCAACGCCAGACGGAGGCTAAAGAGCAGAGGATGACTCGTGCAGCCTATAAGCGTAAAGAGAAGGAGCAACGTAAAAAAGAGCCCAAAGAGAGTTCTCCTGGAAGTGCTTCACCGCCGGTGGGAGGAGCAAGACCCAAGAGTTATGCAACACACGCAGCTCTGTCAGATTTTGATGGTGTCTTCTCCAGGCTGCGTGCCAAGGGAGATGGCAAAGTTTTTGACCTGGAATGTTAATGGATTGAATTCTCCTCAGAAACGGAAAAAAATCTTTTATTATTTGAAGCAACATACCAATGATGTTATTTGTCTACAGGAAACTCATATTTTACTTAAAGACCAGAAATATTTAGTTAATGCTCGTTTGGGATCTCATTTTATATCTCCTGCTCCTGGGAAGAAAGGGGGAGTTGTTATATATGTTAAACAAAACCTACCAGCTTGTCTGGTAGAATCAGATCCCCAGGGGAGATATGTGATGATTGAACTTGGTATATATGGTAAGAAAGTACTTATAGTTGGACTTTACGCTCCAAATCAACAACAGGAACAATTTTATAAACAGTTACATCAAAAAATAACTTTGCTTGATTATAGATCAGTGGTATTAATGGGTGATTGGAATGGTGTCTTAGATACACTAAGGGATAAGAAAGGTTCCTCTCCTTTTCTTAAACAAGCAAGGCTACCTAAAGCCTTTTTTGACATGAAAGAAGACTGGGAATTAAGGGATTATTGGCGGGAACGTAATCAAGAGGAGAGAGACTTTACTTTTTTTTCTGATAGACACCAATCTTTTTCAAGAATTGACTTTTTCTTGATTACCACGGACTTGTATAATAAAGTAAAGAATGTAAAGATTTTTCCTAGATCACTGACGGATCATAGTCCAGTTTGGATGGAGCTGATTCAAGAGAAAGAGGAAAGAAGATCCTGGAGAGTTAATGAAAATTTGTTTAGACAAGAAAAGAATGTTCAAAAACTAAAGGAGTGTTTAAAGGACTATTTTGCTTTGAATATGTATAAGGGGACTTCAATGTCAATGGTATGGGATGCAGGTAAAGCATTTATGCGCGGTGTTTTGATAAAAATGAATAATTTTTATAAGCGAAATCAGATTCAGAAACGTAGAGAACTTGAAGATGAAATTAAATTAAAAGAAAGGGCTTTGATTTTAAATCCTTCTGATGAGAGTATTAAAGAATCTGTAAAGTTATTAAGGTCACAATTTAATATGTTGATAGCAGACCAAGCTGCAACCAACTTATTATTTATGAAACAAAATACATTTTGTAATGCCAATAAGCCTGGGAGATGGTTGGCTTATCAATTAAGAAAGAAACAGAGACAAAGAATAATAGAGAAAATAAACTATAAGGGTAAATTAGTTTCTCAGAAGGAATTGATTAAAAAATCTTTTTTGGATTATTATCAAAACCTATATAAATCTACTAATATACAAATGCTAGATATAAATAAATATTTAGCTGAGGCAAGTTTTCCTAAACTGACTGAGGATCAGAAATATGAAATTAATGGTTTAATTACTAAGGAGGAAATTACCTCAGCAATTCAACAATTGAAATTAGGGAAAGCACCGGGTACGGATGGGTTAACAGCTGTTTATTACAAAGTTCTAATAGAGGAGATGATCCAACCATTACATGATCTTTTTAATGGTATTTTACAGGGTTTAGAGATTCCTCCTTCATGGCGTAGTGCTTTTATATCATTGATTCCAAAGGAGGATCAAGATCTTACCCTACCAAAAAATTACAGGCCTATATCTCTTTTAAATGTGGATTATAAGATATTTGTAAAAATTTTGGTAAATAGGCTTATGAGGGTGGTGCATCATCTTGTGCATAAAGATCAATCAGGATTTATAACAGGAAGGTATATGAAAAATAATGTCAGACAAATTATTAATTTACTAGAATATTTAGACAAGAACAACCAAGTTCCTGCAGGGCTCATATTTTTAGATGCTGAAAAAGCATTTGATCAATTGAATTGGCATTTTATGTTAAGAGTAATGGAAGAAATGAATTTTGGTGAAAAGATATTACAAGCCCTTACGGTAATATATCAAAAACAAACGGCACAACTTATTGTTAATGGAGGTTTGTCGGAGGTTTTTACAATAGAGAAAGGTACTAGACAGGGGTGTCCTTTATCGCCATTGTTGTTTGTTTTAACATTGGAAATATTATTGATCAAAATTCGAGAGTCTCAGGAAATTAAAGGAATATATGTTAATAAAAAAGAATATAAGTTGAGAGCTTTTGCGGATGACTTGGTTGTTACTTTGTCGCAACCTGATTATTCTGTAGTAAACTTATTACAGTTGATTCATCATTATGGTTTGGTCTCGGGTTTTAAGATTAACGTAAATAAGACTAAAATTTTACCTAAAAATATGTCGAGTCAGGAGAAGCAGATTTTGGTCAACTTGACGGGTTTTGAGATTGTTAATAAGGTAAAATATTTGGGGGTGATGCTGTCTGTTTCTAATGCAAAATTATTTAAAAATAATTATGAAAGGTTGTGGGTCAGGGTACAGAAGGACTTGAAGAATTGGGAAAAGTTGCAATTATCCCTCATGGGAAGAATTGCAGTGATAAAAATGAATATTCTACCCAAGTTTCTTTTTTTGTTTCAAATGTTACCAATTTTGAAAAATGAGATTAATTTAAATGAGTGGCAGAAGGGTCTCAACAAATTTATTTGGGCAGGGAAAAAACCAAGGGTTAAGTTTAAAATTATGCAAGACTTCCGTGAGAGGGGTGGACTTAAGGTACCAAATTTGAAATTATATTATGATGCGGTGGTTTTAACATTAATTAGTGATTGGGTAAATTTGACAAATTCTGAGATACTTTACTTAGAGGGATGGGATTTACTTTATGGGTGGCATGCCTATTTAATATTTAATAAAAAAATAGATTGGGCTTTTAAATCTCATATTTTAAGAATTTCTTTACTTAGGATTTGGAGAAAATATTATAAAAGTGATTTTAAAGTACCATTATGGGCTATACCTTGGCATGCGATAGAAGGAATAAAAAGAGGGGTTAAAATGGATATGGTGTCTTATAGACAGTTACTTAAATGGGATGGACAAAACTGGCAATTAAAATCACGGGAAGAGTTAGCACAAGAAAATTTTACTTATTCTTGGTTCCAATATAGGCAACTATTAGATAGATGGAAGATGGATTGTAAGGTGGGTTTTCTTAGAGAAGATGAAAATCTTATTAAGCAACTGAAGGATCAAAGACAAACCCACATTAAGAGAATTTATGGGGTTTTAGTTGAATTGGACTCAGAAACGGAACTAATTAAAGATTGTATGATTAGATGGGCGCAGAATTTTGGTGAGCCAGTTTCATTGGACACCTGGGAAACTATTTGGGTGAGAAATGTCAAATTTACTCAAGCACAGAACTTAAGGGAGAATTTTTATAAAATGTTTTATAGATGGCACCTTGATCCACAAAAAATGTCTTATATGTATCCTGACGTGCAACCCAAATGTTGGAGATGTGGTTATAAGGAGGCTTCCTATTATCATATTTGGTGGTCATGCAGAGAGATAAAAGCATTTTGGATTAAAATATGGTGGAATATCCAGAGAATTTTTAGAAGGAGGGTAAAATTTACTCCGCAATTATTTTTGTTAGGTATTGTTACAGATTGTGATACAAAGGAGGTTGTATTGATGTTAAACTTGATCACAGCCGCTAGGCTGTTAGTAGGACAATACTGGAAGAAGGAATCTTTGCCTACATTGCAGGAATGGTTTCTTAAAGTAGCTTATCTGGCAGAAATGGCAAAGATTTCGGCTTTCTTAAAGCAACAAACGCAAGAGAAGTTTTTTGCTGTTTGGGATAAATGGATAAAATTTATACAATTTAGATTGGGTATACAAAAATATTATATAGTTTTTTCATAAGTTTTATTTTCATATATATTATAGATAATTTTTTTATATATATAAATATAAAGTTTTTTAATTTAATATTTATTTTTATTTTTTAAGCCTATATTCTGCTCTGGGAAGCTCAGGGGGGGGGGAAGGGAGGGTTTTTTTTCCTTTTTTTTTTTTTGGGAGGGCTGGGGGATGGGGTTTTGTTTTTTTTTTTATTTAATATATGTATTGTTTAGTTTTATTTTTCTGTATATGTTGCCTCTTGTTTTGTATTATTTTTCCTTTTTTGTAAAATTTATAAAACTTTCAATAAAAAAAAAAAAAAAAAAAGAATTTCTTTACTTCGGGTTTGGAAGAAATACTATAGAAGTGATTCAAGAATTCCATTATGGCCAGTTCTGCAAGCTAAACTGCAGCCCAAGAGTCCTGGTCACCAGTTGGTTCAAAGATACTTGCTGTAGAAACTCAGTGTCGTTTGTGTAGCTCAGGTAGCTCTCCATCATTAGGGTGAGAAGTGGCGGCTGACTTTGATGCTCGTAGTACACCCGGCCGCCATTTGGGATGTGCCCAAATCTGCTCTCAGGAAGCACATGGCTCAGAAGAGGATTGGCAGCAGGGCCAGCTCCCACCAGCTCCCCCCAAGGCTAGCAGAGTAGCTGCCCATGCCCACCCAGCAGGTTTCCCCTCTGCTCCTTGGGAGTTGAGGCAGAAGGAGAAGCAACCCCTCTTCCCAACCCTGCCTTTCCTGGCAACGCTCACTGGCTGACTAGATAGAGGAAGTTTTGGATGAGGCCCTTGGCTGTAGCTGTCATGTTGGAGAGGAGGAGGCCTCCCAGGATCCAGAAGGAATCCCTATGGCAGGAAAGAAAACGGCAGCCATGTGTGGATGCAGGAAGGGAGTTGAGGGACAGGGGCCTCTGCTGGCCAAGCCTGTGGGTTGGGGCAAAGGTCCTCCACCAGCCCTCTACATGTCTCACCAGTAGTAATATTCATGGAACCAGCCCCCAGGCACAATCAATGGGTTTGGCACATAGATCAGAGAGTAACACCAAGGAGCATTTGAACATTGGGGTTCACCTGAAGGGAAATGGAGCAGCTTCTGCTGAGGGCACGGTAGCCTCCCTCTGCATCCCCCAATGGCTGAGCTTTAGCACTTACCCGCCTGCCCAGCTGCTTCCACTTGGCGTTCAGGACCTGGGCCCAGGACCGCAACTTCTCATCTGAAATCCTCTTGAGGGGGATGCTACAAGGGGCCCAGGAGGTTCGGAAGGCAGCCATTCAAGATGCGATGTCAATCCCCAGTAAGGATTTAGGGAGAAAAATGTCGCACACTTTGCAATCTGCGTAGTGCCCCCAAGGCCTTGGAAGAAAAAGGCTCCCATTCCCACCCTGAGCAAGAGAGAAAGGGCAAGGTACCTTGGAAGACCCGGACCTCACAGAGCAGAGATTCCCAGGCAATTCAGGGGGCAGGCCAGGAGCACAGCAGGGGGCATCTGGTGGCTTTCCCAGAGACAGGAGATTGGCCATTCAGAAATAGAGGACTGACTATTGGCTGGCTGCCGGGAAACTGACCAGAAAGTTGGGAGGGGCCATCTTCGAGGCCAGGAAGTGGCAATAGTGGCCTCAGGAAATAGGTGGGCTTGTAGGATCTCAAAGACCAACATGCCATAGCAGAATAGGGCCAGGAGCCAATGCCCATCTTGGAGGGTGGTCAGTGTGCTCTAGAAATGTAATCCTAGTTGAGAACTCATACACTGCACGGGGCAGTATGGTGCCATCTCTGAGAGCAGGAAACATGTCACCATACCCCTTCCAGGTGTAACTGTACCTATCTGTCCAGTCTGGAGGTATCCAGCTTTCCAGGTCCTGCCCTGGAGGAAAGAAGTGAGTCCCCACAAACTGTGCCAGCTGCAGTTTGGGTAAGGCCCCACCGGGTGTGGCATTCATTAATTCCTCAAATTGCTTGAGAACCACATCTGGAAGAATGGGATCTAGCAGATCTGGTCAAGGTTCACTCTAGGGTAGAGGGGTGAGGAGGGGCTAGGCTTGCATTAGCACACTTCAGGCCCAGGAAGCCTGTGCTCTGCAGCTGAAGCACCTGGCTGGCAAGCTCAGGTTGAGCATAGCACCGGCAGGGCCAGCAGCCTTTCCTCTGCATACAGCCAGTTTCTACATTCAGGTCCGTCTCTCCAAGTGGTTGGGCTGTTATGAAAGCAGGGCGACTCTGGCACTAGGAAGAGGACTGCGCTGTAGAGGTGGACATTCACCTGGATTGGACTTCAGTGGCATGTCAACAAAGTCTTTGTCGTCTTGAAAGAGCCTGGCCAGCTGGACTTGCTGCAGCAACTCTCCAGTGCAGTAGATGCGGCTGGAAAAAAAGAGCAGAACTGCTCTGCAGAGGAGCAATGCCCTTGGGGGAAACACCACCACGGTGCCACCAGCAGCCAAGGCTTTGCAAGGTAGGGGACAGCTGCTCCTTGATGCCCACAGCCAGGCTCCCAAGGGACAAGGCCCCAAACACCAAGCATCTTCTGGGCAGCGAATTCCATTCCTTCCCCTACATCTGGACCAGGAACACTGCAGAGGGCAAAGCTGCCAAGCTCCCTCTCCCTACAGGGCATGGAAGAGCCGCTCTGGGGCACCCTGGCCCCGGAGTCTGCTGCCAAGCTGGCAGGGCACTCCCTTTAACTCTGAGCATACACACCCTTGCCATCTCAAGAATAGCTCCTCCTTCTTGTCTTGCAGAACCAGCTATGGTACAGGTTACCGATCTGGGTGGATCATTAATCAGTAAAAGCCGCTCCGTCCAGAAAACATACAAGAATTCTGGAGCCTCAACAGAATGCTGAAGCAGCAGCTTCTTCATTAGCAACTGGGGGCAAACTTTGTTCCCCTCAAACACATCCAGTCACCCTCTAAGGCAGCGGTTCTCAACCTGTGGGTCGGGACCCCATTTGGGGTCGAACGACCATTTCACGGGGTCGCCAAACGCAGTCCACCATTTCCCCCCCCTTTTCCGTAGCTGTGCTACTCCCTTTTATTCTATTGGCTTTTGAAAGCCAATAGAATAGACTCTCTTGAATAGAGTCTAATTCTATTGGCTTTCAAAAGCCAATAGGAATTGTCTAGGCTGTCTCTGTCCTGCTGAGCCCGCCAAAAGTCCCATTCTGCAAACGGTGCTGCAAATTGTCTGCAGGCGAGCTGTCTGAAAGTTTCCACTCCTCCCTGCTGAGCAACTACTAAAAATGTAAGTAAAAGAGGGCCAGGGGTGGGAGGCCGACGGGCGCAGGGAGGGTTGCTGGCACGCGTGTGGCCCGGCGGGTCCCTTACCTGCCTTGGGCTGGGCCAGCTGGTGGCCTAGCCGGTGGTCGGCCTGCTCCGTCTCCGCCGCTTGCCATCTACGCCTCGACCAGCGCAGGGGGCGGCACCACGCATGCGCGGCGCTCCCAGGCAAAGTCCTTGACTTACGACCAGTTGGGTAGTCCTCGACTTACGACCGGTTGGGGTCGCGGCATTTAAAAGGTTGAGAACCACTGCTCTAAGGCAACCATCTTTTCTCTTCCTTTAACCCGTCCTTCCCACTCCTTTATCCTCCAGGATGATTGGTGGCAGAAACTCCCTGGGCGCACTTTGTGGCTCAGTAAGATTGGCACCAGGGTTGTCAGGCCTTGCCTCGTCAAGGCAATTTACAGGAAATGCTGCCTCAGATAGCCCCAGCTGTACCCAAGGTGCCCCACCAGCTTCCTCAACTCACCTGTCACATGGAGGTGGAAGGCTGCCTGCCATCACCTGCCACCACCACAGAGCTGTGCAGATGACCAGGAACCCCCGCCCCACTGGATCTAGCATTTCAGCTGAACGTTTGGGTGCCAAGCAGCACCACCATTCCAGGCAATGCCCACAAAGCAAGCCTGCAGTTTCACACCCAGCTCTTCATCTGCTTTTTGGGCAGTGCTGCTCCAGGGCTGGTATGCAGACGGGCCGCCCCCACAGCTATGCCTGCCACCGCTTGTCCCAGTCCTTAGCTGCCTGGAAAGAAAGAAGGGAAATGTTCCCAGCCCTTTGCAGAGCCATGTTCCTCTCCTAGGCCCCTTCCTTTTGCCCCCAAAGAGCAGCTTCAGAGCTTGATGGCGCAAGTCAGCCTTGCTCTGCTCTGCTTGTTCTTCTCGACATGCTCTCAGTGCCTGTGATGCAAGCCAGAGTGACATGCTGTACAAGTGAAGAGTCTGAAGCAAGTTCAGGTCCCAGTGAGCTTTTATTGAGCCAATTCTCTTAAAAATAAGTCAGAATTTTATAATTCAGCACTTTTGACACTAAGTTCACAGCGTTCCTTTATATACTTGTGTACATACGCTGTGCCAAAATCTTGAGCTCTGCTGGACATTTGCCAGTTCCCAGTTCCAAACGAAAAATAATCTTCCCCTCCCAACCCACCCCTTGTTGACAAATTCTAGCCCTCACTGTTCGTACTGGACATGGTCTGAACTGAACCAAGGATCAATGAATACGACGTTGCTAGAATTGAACAAAAAAGTATGTCCCCCAAATTTTCCAGTTTCAAGAAAGGGAAAATTGACTTATTTTCTTCCAGACATTGCCACCCCCACATCTTGGTTAAAATACAGCAAGGCTGTATCTTTGTGTTATCCTCCCTCCCCCATCCCCCCACCCTCGCACAGGACTCCAGAATGTTGCCTAAGGAGTGGAGTTGCAGCAGAGAGATTCCCTTTGGCTGCTCCAACGTTCCCTCCCTAGAGAATACCATGAGTTTCCATTGCAAAGGTGCTGTGACCCCCCCTTTTTCATATCCTGCCAGGGAACAAATGATGGTGCCCCAGAATACGTCCAGAGGTATGCTTTGCACCAACAGCTTAGGTCAGACTACTGGTGGAAACAACTCATACCCAGACAAAGATCCTGGACGCAACGGTGCCTCTCTTTAATTGGCAAGATTCAGCTAGTCCTGTGCAAGCAAGCCCACCCTTAAAATAAAGAGTAGAATGAGATGTCCAAATCAAACTCATCTGCTTTTGTTTCTAGTTTCTATGATCTCATCCAGCTCTAACAACAGACACAAAAGCAGAGGGTATAGGAAAAGATGCTCCCATCTCATTCTGTAATAATTAAAAAAAAGAAAAAGAAAAAATGAACCCACCCACCCACCCACCCAAGGTCATCTCTACTAAGTGCAGGGGGTCCTGGGAAGAGCCCACTGATGTTATCGCCAAAGCCTTGTTTTGTCCCAGCACTGAGTCACCTGAGGGGGTGAAGGCAACAAAAGGGCCCCAGAATTTGTTCTCTCAAAATTTCCCCAGAAGTGGCTAAACCAATTGAAAAACTGTTGGCAACTGCTTTATGCATAAGACATCCAATTCTCAGCCTTCATTTTCAGATGAAGGGGTTAAAAAAAAAAAGACAGACCAGGGTGTCCCTGGTCAATATTTGGAGCATCTTTCCTTTCCAAGTCTCGCTTCACCATTGAGAGACAAGGAGCCATTGTCAGGTGGCTTTCTGACCCAAACAAAGCTACCCAAAAATGGTGATCAGAGGTTGAGGCCGCTCCTCTGCTAGGCGGCCACAGGTGAAGTAATACTTTCTCTTTAAAAAAGGCTGTGCTTCAAGAGTGACAAGAGGAGCGTGGCGCTGGGCAGAGTGGCCACCTCAACTCACTGTACCAAATCAGGTGTTGTACGTATTCTCACAAGTTTCAAGATTGCTGCACACATTTTGCCTCTGCTCTCTCCTCCTTTGGGAATGCCCTTGGCTGCTGCAGAAGAGCAAAGTTTTGCTTTGGGTCACTAGTGCCCACTCCCCAAGCTGTTCCACCCAAGTAGTTGCTCGTCTTATGCAGCCTCAGCTGAATTCCCAGCAGAAGAGCTTTTTGTTAATACAACTTTTACTATGGTTACTTAGACAAAACATGTTCCACTTCCAAAGAGTTGTCAGGAGGCACCTGGCTCTAGGCACAGTTCTCTGAGGTCAGGGCTGGAAAAAGTTGATACTTTCTATCAGAACTGCTTAGCTTGTCAGGGCAGGAAGGGGGGGTGGGGTGGGCTCCGACTGTCTTGTCTCTGAGCCAAGAGAGCCCATGCTTGCCCTGGTGCCTCCTTGCACTCTGCTGCTGGCAGGCTGGCAGGGAATTTGTTAGAAGTTTACAGGTTGAGTAGTCTCTCTCTTTCTGCCTGCACATCAGGCCAAACATCAAGCACATTGGGAGGGGCACACTTTAAAGCAACACTACTGGACTGGAAGCACATTTCCCCCCCCCCAAGGGGGGAAGAGCAGAGGGCTTGCCTTTCCTGCTCCAGAATCTCTCATCCGACAAGCTTCAAACAGAATCGCCAGAAGCTGGCAGTAAGTTCTAATGCCAGAAGCTGCCAGGGCTGACTAGGACTTTGGCTCATTGGAGTCACTTTTGGTTCTACCTTGCTTTGAGACAAAGAAGGTGGTTGGGCCTCCCCCCCCCCCCAAGACAAATCCAGCTTCCTTAGAGGGTAGTTTTCCCCCCTTGGCGAGGGGAAGAGGACCTTGCCCGACATCTAGGTCTCTTCCAAATAGTGCAACCCCTAAAGCAAGCCAGACCTACCTAGAGGCCTGAAGTCACAGTGCTTGGTATCAAGTAGCGTTGCAGAAAACTGAGCCCCTCTCACCTTTAGCTGCTGTCAAGATCTATCTATAATCCCTTTAACGCCAGCAAGCCTCATCCAAATAAAGAAAAAAGGAAGTTATATGAACCCTTAACAGAAAAACACATTATTTACAGAGTTTATACAAGTATACACATCCAATTTTCTGCAGAACACATAAGAGAGGAAAAACCATCATGGCTTGGAGACAAGTCTGCCCAGCAAGTGCTGTGCCCCCAAGGGAGACTCGCGGAGGCAAGTATGTAGTGTTCTGTGAGAGCCCCTGGGCGTTTTGGGGGGCTCCTGCTGCAGATTGGTTGGCAAGTGGCTCTTTCCTCTCTGAGTGTGGAAGTTTCCCTCAATCAACCTAGGCGATCCAGGTTATTTTGCTTAAATACACATATTTACAGAGTGGGTGAACAACAACTGCATCTCAATTCCTCCATTAAAAAAAAGTTAACCAAACAAAACTACTGACAAGGCCCACCTTCCAGCACCTGGAAGGGGAAGGAAACAGAGGGGGAGGGAAGAGACTTTGACCTGAACCAAAACGACTCCTTGGGATGTATCCAAAAGGGATTTTCTGAATGGTCTCATAGCATAAGGCACTTTGCACAAATAAGTAACAAGCTCTTTAGCTCAAAAGACAGATGAGGAGCCAGGGAGAAGTTGAAATGTACTCAGTCGGGCAGCTGTGGGTGAATTTGAAACTGCAGTCAAGGTGGAGTTTGGGAATCTTCTCATTTCAGAGTTCTTCTACTCCATCACAAAGAAAGAAATTAAAACCAGCAGTTAGTGCAACTAATGTTCAGTCAGCACACAGTGCAAACAAGTGGGAAAAACAAAAGGTATTTTCTTCCTATCTTCTGCATTTGTCTTCACAGCCAATTTTTTTTAAAGGAGGGGAAAGCTCTGTAATTTTAATTGTTCCAAAACAAAAAGATGAAAAACCCTCAAAGAGAAGGGGCCTCCCCCAAGAAATGATGTTTCACATGTCCAGATCAAAGGGTTTTTAGGTTTTGTTTAAGCAAAGCCTAGAAAAAGAAAAGAAGAACAAGACCTTTAGTACCAAGGAAACAGCATCCATAAGCTACTGCCTGACTGCTGTGGCCCAGCCCATTCTGTGTCCTGCCCGTCAATGCCTCAGAGATGCAGGCTATGGCGGGCCCTGGGTTCCAAAGCCACATGTCAAGAAACGTGGGCACAATCTGGTCAAAAGCTAGACAGTGATGGTACCTCTTTTCCTCTAAATGTGCACTTTAATAATTTCCTTCCTTCTATGGCATTAGAGCCCCATTAAAGCTCCTGGGACAGCCTACACCAGTGGAACAGGGCCCGATTCAGGTTACCCTCCCGCCAGGTATCCCTCAGATACCTACGCAGCTATTACGGTTTATCGTCTTCTACAGGCTCGCTGTGGTATTCTGCCACATACAGACTCTTGTCAATGTTACTAGGGATGGGCTTAATTTCTGTCCCCAGCTGCTCTTCAATACTCTTCAGGTTGAAACGATCGTCATAGGTAATCAAGTTGATGGCTAGTCCTAGATGGCCAAATCGACCTTCAAACAGAAAAAAGCAAAGATTTTCACTCTAGCAGCTTGCTTCACAAGGACTACATGTGGCTGACTGGGGGCAACCAGCTCTTTCCTCCCCAGCATATATGGTGGAACAAAGTTTTTCAATTTCAGTTCATCATTTGCTGATACAAAAGTGTATGTGTGTACTGCTTTTTGCGTTTACTCCAATAGCAGCTTTAAAAAACTGAAGAAGCAATCAATGCTAGCTACTAGCTAGCTACCAAGAATCTCCATTTCCTATCATGATACATCCATTTACATAAAAGACAATTCAGATAGTTCTCAACTTACAATTATTCATCTAGTGATCGTTCGAAGTTACAACAGCACTGAGAAAAGGGACCTATGACCATTTTTCACACTTATGACCGTTACAGCATCCCCATGGGCAAGTGATCAAAATTCAGATGCTTGGCAACTGACTCATATTTATGACGGATGCAGTGTCCTGGAATCATGTGATCACTTTTGCATCCTTCTGACAAGCAAAGCCAATGGGGAAGCCAGATTCACTTACCAACCGCATTATTAATTTAACAACTGCAGTGATTCACTTAACTATCTCAAGAAATGCTTCACTTAGCAACAGATATTTTGGGCTGAATTGTGGTCATAAGTCAACAACTACTTGTACTCTTTTTCATTGAACAATTCCCTCACCTGATCTGCCAATACGATGGAGATATGTCTCTGCCAGCTTTGGAAAATCAAAATTGATCACAACATTCACAGCTTGGATATCAATACCTCGGGTAAAGAGATCTGAAAAACAAACCTTACACCTCAGAAAAATCCAGTAGTATAAAAAAAAGAAGGGCTCAGGACGACAAAATTGCTTACTATATAAGTAACACAAGACTCATCCAACTTTTTGATTGTTCTGTAGCCTCAAGCACAAAGAAATGTT